CTGCTGCAGGCTCGGGCATTGGCGCCGTCGGCAGCTCCGGAGCTTGCTGTGTATGACTTGAGGTGCAGGTGTCCATGCGATGAGATTGTGGGTGGGCTGGGCAAGGGGGGTTGCAAAGCGAAGGGCAGGGGCGGTACCAGGCGGGCAGGCTGGGGGGGCTGAGGCATGCGCTCCCGCTGCAGCATAGACGGACACGGCACCGTACAAAGCGAGCAAGCACGGGCACAGTTCATACCGACGAGAAACTTGTTCAGATAGTTGACGCATACTGCTTGCAGACGACCTCGGCACAGCGATCTTGTTTCACACCGTCGCGGCCTGGTTTCTTTGTGCTGACGCGCTCAGAGCCGGTATTGGAAAGTTACAAGCACATCATCCTCTTGCCGATACTGTCACGAGACGGGGTGCAGCTTCGGCGCTGCGCCCAAGCAGCAACTGCGCCGCTCGAGCTGTGCGGCGTGCTGCCGCCAGGATGGTGAAGGGCAATCCCCTCTCTTTCCTGAACAAGAAGGTGAATGACCTGGTGCAGCTTTGCTAGGGCTCGTCGCGGCTGGGCCTGCTACAAGGAGGCTGTTGTCCATCAGCGCGACGCCGTTGGCCGACTCAGAACGCTGCGCCACGTTTGTATGCTTTCCCCACACCCCCTTATCCAAGGGCTGGCACCCCGGGAGCTTCAGGAACACCGAGAAGGTATGGAAGAAGGAGCAACAGGCAGCTGAGGAGCAGCGGAAGCTGGAGGAGCTGCAGAAGCAGCTGGAGGAGGAGCGGCGCGCCAACGAATACGTTGAGATCGCTGCCGCTGCGGGCCACAAGAGGTGGGGAGGGCCTGCAAGGTTTATGGTGTAGTAGGGAGAAGTGTTGGAGCCATGGAAATGTACTGTACATAGTCTAGCCGAACTGCTGCCTGATTGCAGCGGCATCTGCAAGTCCAGCTGCCGCATAACCAAGTGAGTCACTGCAAGGCGCGACCCACCCGCACATGCCGTCAACTTCAAACCACAACCGTTGCCAGGCAGGATGGTGCCTTGGATTGGATGTACCGCGGGCAGACCCGCGCCGGCGGGCCCGGGGACGGCGCGGCCGGCGGCGCCCCCGGCGCGCCGCCCGCGGAGCAGCCGCTGTGCAAGCCAGCGGCGCCAGAGGACAACCTGAGCCGCGGCGAGCGGGCGGCGCTGGCGCCCAGCCTGTACAAGGCGGACGCGACGGTGGGCGCCATGGAGGCGTGGCAGCGGCTGAACAACGACCCAATGCTCATGATCAAGAAGCAAGAGCAGGAGTCGCTGAAGAAGATAAAAGCCAACCCCATCAAGATGCAGGAGATCTGGAGCGAGGTGCGCAGCCTTTGTTTTTACAGGACCGCTGTGAGGGACGGCCCGGCTCAGCAGAGCAGCGCGTGTGGGGGACTTGACTACGGCGAAGGGGGCGAGGCGTTTGCGGGATGCAGCCAAGCCCGCAACCTGTGGCCGCTGCTGCCACCGCTGATGATGCACGACGCCCGCCGCTTGCGCTGCTATGGCGCCTGCTTTGACGCCTTCCTTAGGTCAAGAAGCTGCGTGAGGGGAGCAAAAAGAAAGAGAAGAAGGAGAAGAAAGACAAGAAGGATAAAAAGCACAAGCACAAGCACCGCAGCAGGAGCCGCAGCAGGAGCAGGAGCAGGAGCCGGTCGCCGGCGCGAAGACACGTGCAGGGAGGCGGCGCCGACCTGCGAGACCCTGGGCGTGCCCCGCCGCTGCCGCCGCCCCCGCCGTCTGGGGGCGGCCGCTACGGCTCGGAGCGGCACCAGCAGCAGCGAGAGCCCCGCGGGGATGAGCGGGACCGCGAGCGGGACGGCGGGCGCGGCGGTCACGGCGGCAGCAAGCGCAGCAGGTCGCGATCACGCGACCGCCGCGCCGGCGGCGGCAGGGACGGTCGGGACGGCGCCGGGGACCGGCGGCGCTCTGAGGAGGACCGCGAGCAGAAGCGGAGCCGCCGCTCGGCGTCACCGCCGCAGCAGCAGCGTGCGGCGGCCAAGCATGTGAGCGGCGGCGGCGAGGAGAGAGGGCCGGATCGTGACGCGGCGGCGGCGGCTCCGGGCCCGCCGCGGCAGGCTGGATATGGCTTGAAAATGCCGGCTTCGAGTGTGGGGGAGGAGGAGAGGGCGCGGCTGGCGGCGGCGCAGGAAGAGACGCGGAGGCGGCTCGAGGAGGGGGCGCGGCGCAAGGAGGCGGAGGACCGAGAAAAAGCGGCGCAGCGGCACCAGCGCAGGTGGGCGCGAGGGTCTGCTTTGGACTTACAGCACTGTCGGCATGGTCTTGTGAGCAATCTGGCTGCATGCATGCATGCATGCATGCATGCATGCATGCACGCACCATGCGCGAGTCACAAGCCGTGCAGCCCTCCACCGTCATGCCCTGCTACTGCATGGGCCATTGCATGCATGTGCGCGCTGCATGCATGCATGCATGAAGGGTGTTTTGACAGCTATCGCAACATGCATGCGTGCCATGTGCCCCATGCGTGCAGGGAGCACCAGACGGGGAAGCTTACTGCGGAGGAGAAGGCGCGCCGGCTGGCGGAAATGATGGGCAACGCCAGCGAGCATGACAGGCAGCGGCAGGAGCGGCAGGCGGCCGCGCGCGCGGCGGAGGCTGAGGAGGCTTCCAAGGGCAGCGCCGCGCTCCTCGAGCGCCTCAAGCGCGGCAGCGGGGGCGGCGGCGCGAGCGGTGGGGACGATGCTGCAACGGCGGCGGCGCGGCAGGAAGTGTATGCGAGAATGCAGCAGGGCGGCAGCAGCCTGCAGGCGCGCATCAATAGCAGGCGCCACTATGTTGAGCGCAACGGCGGCGACTGAGAGCAGTTGCATGGTGTCCATTTTTGGCGCTTGGATTGCATAGCTTGCGCATGTAATGCGATGTGCTGCAGCTTGAGATCATGAGTTCTTGGCAGCTGCAGGGCACCTGCTGGAAAGGATAAGCTCTGCAGCTCCACAAATTCTGGGGATTCATGGCAGCTACTATAGTACTCGATCCTATACACCTCCCATATCGTTTGTACTCATCAAGCGGCGGCAGAGTCGCCCCGAAAAGCAGGAGCAGCAGCAGCAGGTGCGGATGATCGAGCTTGTATGGCGGCCGAAGCCCTCAACGCAAAGCTAGTGATCGAATTTCTGAGCATGGGTGGCCCAGTATCCTCAAACACCGCCTACGGATGGACGACCCCCGTCAACGCGTGATCTGGGCCGAGCAGCGCCGGAGCAGCGCAAGCAGTCACTTGAACACTTTGAAATCAACACTCGATGCACCACGGAGTGGGCAGTAGCCCTGGGGCTTGGAGCGCCACAACAGCGGAGGCCGCAGCGCAGCGCTTCAAACGGGCTCATGTCCCGTCCTGCGATCCGCGATCCGTCTCTACCCAGGTCAGGCACCATGGTCAAGCCAAGCATCTCAATCTTCAATGTCAGTACCGTGGCGCTGTGCGCCATCACCTTTTGCGTGTGGTAAGCTGACCCGCGTGGCCGCTTCTTGTGGCAAGAGCAGCAGTACCCTGCGCCGCGTACGCCTTGGAATGCCTGCGCCGAATTCGCCAACAGCAAGCTGCTGAAGAGCCATCTCATGGCTCACTGCACGTGCGCAGGGCCATCACGCTCTCGTCCCTGGCCGGCCTTCAGCAAACCTGCGAGAACATCCCGGAGGCGTCGATTGGGGGCAGCGCCACCCACAATGCAGGCGGCCTCGTGGGAGTGCGCGGTGCGCATCCGCACCTTCTGTGCGGCTCCTCTGTTCCTGCAACCACTGCCACCTCGTACCCAATAGTGTTGCAACACTCCATGCTGGCTGCTGTACAGGCATCCACACTCGCCTTTGGGCGCCATGCGAAGCGTGCCTTGCTTCCAGTAGCCGCTCCTGTGCGTCCGGCTTACACCCTCATGCGTCTCCCATCTCACGCATGCAGGGTTCAGCGCAAAGTTTCAGACCTGCACGGAGCTTTTTGGGTGAGCCTGAAATGCGCGCTGTGTTTGCACGGCTGCCATGGCGGCACGCGAGGGGCCCACAATGCGGGCTGGAGAGTGCAAGCTGTGCCCGCAGGCTAGCCCCCTTCTTGGCTTGGTAGCCCAGTAGCAGGCTCATGCTCTCAGAGTCCTCTGCATGCATGCAGATCGCAGTTGCATGTGCGGACGGCACATGCAGCGCCACATGCACACCCTCATGCGTTCACGTGCATATTCCCTAACAGCCATGCAATCCTTCTGCCGGCCAACCCCCAACTTTCAGCTACTACTGGTGGATTGTCATCTTCGAGCTCGCCCTGCTTGCTTCCCTGGCGGGTGCACTCTACGCCGGCTGCACCGAGAAGGTCCGCACACCCCTAGGTGAGCTGGAAGCCAAGCAGAAAGCCATGTTTACATGGCCCCCCCTTGTGAAAGACTTGAACAGCAAATTCTTTTGTTGGAGTCCCTCTGTGCTCTTGGCCCCATGTCGCCTTGCTGACCACCACAGCAGGCAGCGGTGCAAGCAGATAGCCCCCTCATGTTCCTCGCTCAATGTCCAACCGGGTCTGACCTGCCACCCAGCACATGCCCTGGCACCAGTGCCCGCTGCTGCGCGACACGCACACGCACCGCAGTTGGCGTGCTGGTTGTGGTTTCATCCCTTTGGTTCCAGATGACTGACTCTTTCCTGGCGGTGAGTCCTTGACACACAAACCCAGCCAGTACCTGAGAACACCTCATTGGAGCCCAACCTAGCCCTCAGAGAAGCTTGTTGTGTTGCTGCAGCAGCGCTACCTGCCTGTGCAAAGCATGTAAGCCGATGCAGCGAGGTGGGGCCAGCGGCTCAGCCACCCTGTCCTCTCGTCCTAGCACCTGCTGCACACCTGACACGAGGCGGACTCACAAGCCCGACGGCCGGCTGCCCGCGGCGCCCCGCTCGCCCTCCTGTCGCCAACGACAGCTGGAGGGCGTCGGCAACTACGCGGACGGCCAGCCCCTGCATCGCGCACGCACCATGGGGGCCGGGTGCGTCGCCACGGGCCTGCTCAACCTCCTCATGATCGTCGCGATCGGCAGGTGAGAATGCGGGCGTCATGGAGCTCCCCTTTCTCTGTGAGCACGCGTTTGTTGTATACTGATTGCTGAAGCCCTTGTAATTTGCTTCAAACGTCTGCACCCTTGCTTGCCGGCGCGTTGGGATTTCCTCATGCAGTTAAACACCTTTGAACAGCGCTTTCATGGGGATCTGCTCCTGCTCACATGGCGTTGCAGTGACTTTGACGCTTGGCCAAAGGACAACTTCAATGCCCATGTGGACGAGGGCGGCTGCCAGGCCGGGCAGGCGCAAGGGCCGGGCCGCACTGGTGCCGCCGTTGCCTGAATCGCGGTCGGCAGGCTGCGGTGATGTCTAAGCAGCCGCATCACAAGGGCGTGGACGGCAGGCCTCTCGGCCACAAGCTTTTGTCAAGCACCCATCATCCCTGTGCGCGGTACAAAACAGCAGCACTGGCAGCAGCAGCAGCAGCAGCAGGAGGACTCAATGCAAAAGCGAACAGCATGTTTGGACCCCTTCATCCTTTTTTTCAGCCGATCGTAGCCGATCGTGGTCCTTGCGTGCACATCCAAGGATCTGCGTGACGGGTAGCCTGCAGGTCACTGGGCTGCACCGGCGCAGTGCCGTATGCACGCTGCGCCCTCCGTCTGACCGGGAGAGCCCGCCTCCTGCTTCGCCTGCACCTCCCCCATCCATATCTGCTTTCAATGCAGCACTCTTCTGAATCAAATTTCATCAGCAGCATGCAGAGTGCTTCGTTTCTTTGTCAGCTTGTTTGTGTGAATTTGCCTCTTCACCTGCACACATGTGCCCCTGTCTGACGGCGTTGCTCGGCGCAGCAATGACTCAAAGCACAAAACCAAGCGCCAGACACGATGCATCATGTCAGGTAGCAGCAACTTCAGATGCAGCACTGAATCTGAGACTGGTGAATTGTGAGGCAGGGCAGAAAGGGTGGAGGGACAACAACGCACATGCAAATCATGACAAATCGAGCCAAGATCAAAGGGTGCAACACGGGATGCGTGCAAACTACAAGGGACGCTTGCGCAGCGCCTGTGCAGCAGCTGCGTGACACCCAAAATGAGCGGGACCCGCCGGAAAGGCACCATGGCCCCAGCAGTGGGCGGGCAGGCAGCCTGATAGACGTCCGCCAGCAGACGCCGCTGGCGGCGCGGCAGGCAGCGGGCACCCTTTGGCAGCACGGCAGACAGCGGTGGCACGGCCGGCAGACAGCGGGCACCTTTTGCGCTCCTGCGCGGCGTACGTGCGACCGCATGACGCCGGGCACGCGACGCAAACACCAAAAGGAGAGACGCACTCGCTCCCATGCGAGCCCCGGCAACGCCGCCGCGGCTCCCGCGCCGCCTGCGGGAGGGCGCCCCTGCTAGCTGCGCCGGCGCGTGGCTCAGTGACGCGACTTTTTACCCCCCTGGTGGCCGTCGTCGTCGCGGATGGGCTCCCCTATCGCCTCCATCAGGATGGGGGGCGCGTGGCGCGGGTGGCCGCCATGAGACTCGCAGTCCTCGCAGAAGGAGAGGAGGGTGGTGTCAATGGCCATCTCGTAGACGCTGAAAAACATCTGGGGAGGGGGATAATACATTTTGGGGGGGGTGGAGCAGGGCGAGTCTTTTAGGGGGGCCGGGTCCGAGGGGGGGATGTTTTAGGGGTGGAGGGGTTCTTTGGATGGAAAAGGCCGAAGGTGGGATGTCGGGACGCTTTGATTGGCATGGGGCCGTCGGCCACGAGTCAGGTTTGACCACTATTACTAGATTTGCACACAGGGACCCTGATTTTCAAAGGCGGCGCTCGGATGATCCCGCCTCCAGCCTTTCTTTAAGCTCGACTTCGACGAACCCTGCCCGCCCCGCCGCGAGGCCGCCGATGGGGTGTCACCTGCGCCACGACGAAGCCGGTGATGACGGACACGGCGATAGGGAAGATGGCGCTCGACAGGTAGGTCGAGGGGTAGGTCTGCGGGGTGGGAGGGGAGAAGTCAAAAGCAGGAACATCAGGCAAACACAGAGAACAATTGACAATCGGGACTCGTTTGGACTTGAGCTCAGGCCCAGATCCACGCTACATGAGGAGATTTTTTGGCATAACTCGTGCTGGCCCTCAACAAACCAGCCCAAGCGGGCAGGCGTGCGGAGGGCCCGCGGTCGTGCACGCCCTCCGGCAGGTCAACGTCGTTTATCTTCAAAGCTCGACGAACAAAGGGCGGCGTGGTCATGCATTTCGACGCACAGCAGCCTGGGCGGCCCACCACGGCGTCGTTGTAGTACTGAAGGTTGGCCATTCCAAACGCGGCCAGCCCGCAGCAGGCCGCGATGGCGAGCTTGCCCAGGAACAGCAGGGCGTCACCCACGATGTTGACCTGGGTGTGAGTGATTGCATGTGATTGTATGTGATTGTATGTGATTGTGTGTGATTATGTGTGATTGCATGTGATTGTGTGTGATTGCATGTGATTGCATGTCATTGTGTGTGAAGGTGTGTGAGTGTGTGTGAGTGTGCGCATGAGAGGGAGGAGGAAGGGGCAAAGAAGAATGGGTAGCGGAGGGAGCAAGAGGAGGAGAGGGTTGCTGGGGGTCCATGTCTGCGCATGAAGAGCTGAGGGGGGGGGCGGTCACGCGATTGATACGGCAGGCGGGAAGCGGAGCGCCAGGCGCCAGGCGCGGAGGGGGGGGGGCCGAACAGCGGAACAACACAGCGGGTGTGCGGCCCGTCGACTGTGGGCGGGCGCGGGGCCGGGGCAGGGGATGACGAGGTGGGGGCAGTGTCCGGCGGCGCGGCCCCACCGTGGCCAGTCGTATCGCGTTTGCCACAATCAGCTGCACGCCGCGTGCCGCGCTCGTGCAGTAGTTGGACCTGCAAAGCAGGGGCCCAGGGGAAGCGGCGCGGGCGCGAGCTTTGACAGGAGCAGTGGAGCGTGGACGATTGGGCTGCGGGGCGCCCGCTATCCACCTCCAGCGAAACGTTGCAGCCAGGGCCGTCGAGCCGCATCGCATCACATTCGAGCTCATCTAATCCAAGCGTGTAGGGATCACAGGCGTGGCTGGGCGGCTGGCGAGGCTGCTACATGGGCGGGGGCGCGCACCCCTTGACGGCGACGATGATGTAAGCGTTGCGGTTGATGAAGGCCACGATCTTCTCGAGCAGCCACACTAGGAACTTCACGATGCACATCAGCCAGGCCGCGGCCTGTGCAGGGGGTTGGTGGGGTGGGCGGCCACGCCACAGTCGGCGAGGGGTACGAGTGTGTGTGAGAGTGTATAAAGTTTGTGGCGCGCCAGAGCCGCGTTTACGGCCTGGCCCAATCCGCACTGCCACGCGTTCCTGCCTTCTCACAGCCGCAGGAAAGTAGACCTCTGGTGTCGAGGACGCTGAAACCTTTGGCGATTCCACTGTCAGCCATGCATTCTTTCTGATCATCAATCCACCCCAAAACCTTGAACATCCCAGGACTCCCTCTAAGCCGAAATGCATCGCACGTCTTGCTGGAGCCTGCTCCTCTCCCTGGCCCCTTGCCCTTCCAAAAGCCAACCTTGGACTCCTGCTGGATCTTCCTCGTTTTCTTGTCGAGGTAGTTGAGCACCAGCCGCACAAACTGGATGACGGCGATCACGAACGACCCCAGGGCGATTGATCCGAGGTTGTAGATCACGGTGCGGCGCATGGAGCGGATGACTGGGAACGTGGGCATCCTGTAAAGGTTGGAACGGTCAGGATGGAGTGCGCGTTCTTATGGCGATGGACTTGAGTTGGAATCTCTGAAGGGCCAGCAAGGTTTGCAGCCGGCTTCCTGCAGCCTGCGAGCGGCCGTCAGAGCCCGGGTAATCAAATCTGTTCACAGGAGCGCACGGGCGGCGACATGGGTCCTCGAAGCTTCGATCCAGGCGGTGCCTGAAGTCACCCCTGCGGCAGCCATATAGCTCGGCTGCATTGCGCCCCCCGACCCCGCCCGCCCCGCCAAAGCTCACTGGGCGCTGTCGCCGCGGGACCAGTAGAAGCTGCCCACGGCGCCCGCCACCACGACGCTGGCGAACCCCACGATGAACTGGTTGGCCCACAGCAGCCCGAACAGGTGGAATATGAAGGCGTACATCAGGCGGTTGTTCCAGTCATAGGAGATGTAGCAGTCAGGCGACGCGGCGCAGAGGTCAAGGACGTCCTGTTATGCGGGCGCGTCCGAGGGGATTTAGTGAGAGTGCATCACGTGATGCACGCCGACAGATCAAAGATCACAGATCACAGAAAGTGTGCATGATTTGGAGGCCGCTTTGCCCATGGCCAACGCGACAAGCGCCACCTGAGCAGACCCCCTGACGACCCGCAAGAGCGGCAGGAGGGCCAGCATGGTGCAAGCGCTGTTCCTGGGGTGCCGTGGTGAGGGCGCGGGTGCCGCGGTGCAGCGAGCAGCAGCGAGCAGCAGCGGCTCGGCCAGCGCCCACCTCGGCGGTCATGTTGGTGGTGTTCGGGGCGGCCGTCATGGCGGGCGCGGTGTCGTTTGGCAGCAGCAGCTGGCTGAGGCCCTTCGGTTTGTAGTCCGCAGCAGTCCGCCAGTGCGCGGTGGGCACGCCGGCGCTGTACAGGGTGGCGGCGACGGCCACCCAGTAAATGATCAGGCCGACCTGTATAAGGGGTCGGAATTGGGATGGGGAAAGAGGTGGGGAGCTCGGGGATGGGGTGATGTGTGAGGGAGGGGGCGCGGGTGAGGTCAGGTGTCTGGGCCGGACGGCAAGGGTTGATCTGCTTGTGCATGCGCATGTGCACGTGCATGTGTGCGTGTGTGTGTGGGAGGGTGGGGGGTGCCAAGTTCAAGCGTTGTCTAAGGCAGCAGAGGTGCAGCAAGGCGCAGGGGGGGGGGGCGCCTGATGGAGGGGGATAGGTAGACAGTCGCAACAACCCCGGGAAGCAGGCAACGGGTTGAGGCCGGATGCTATTGGTCATGATAATCTCAACCCCCACACATTTGGAACATCCCCCCCCCAAAACACACACACACACACACACACACACACACACACACATGCACACAAACGCACCCACCTCCAGGATGAACGGCAGCAGGGGGAACAGCAGGATGGAAGGCATCCTGGCAACAGCCTGGCTGGCCACCTTGATGCACGCCACCGCCACAGCCACGCGCCGCAGCATGACCAGCGTGAACAGCAACACCTGTACACGCACGAGCGAGCATGCATGTGTGCGTGTGGGTGTGTGTGTGCGGCGCGTATGTCTGCTGTGCAGGCAACTGGACAACTGTGTGAAGCGGCATGTTGCGATCACAAGGCGCCTGGAAACAGGGTTTTGAACGGAAAAAGGATGCATGCGCTGCACCTGCACGGTGCATGCGCAACAGGGCCCGATGGGGCTGTGACAAACACAGCCCGTGGCTCACTCTACTTCAAAGCACCGACAAGGCGCGCACGTGTGCGTGCCTCATCAGCAGCTCACTAGAGCGATGGCGCACTTACTCATAAACCCCCCTCACCACTCCGGCGACGGCCGTCATTGCATATGCGATGTAGCCCCAGTTTTCACGTGACACCAGGGTAGGGTCCTGCCCGGCAAATCCTGCAAACTGGGACGCCACCGCGGACCCCCACTTGCCGGCCTTTGGGAGGTCACAGGGGAGGGGTCGTGTAGGTGAAAGCGCCGAGCCAACAGGGTTGATGGGTGGAACGGGGCTGGTCTGCGCGACTGCGCTGCCTGTCAACCCTGGGACGCGGCCGGGGCGCACGGGCGCGCAGTGACGTGTGGTGTGTGCGCGTGCGGTCATGTGGATGTGTATCTCTTTCTATGTGTTTTGTCTGTGTGTGTGTGTGTGTGTTGGGGGGGGTGTTACAGGGGACACAATGCGAGACCAACTGAGCCTCCAGCAATGGCGCCGGTGCGACGTCGCTGCTTGGACCGTCCGTGCAAAGCATGACGCGGCCCCTCTGCATGTGTGCAGCAGCAGCCCTTACGGCAGCCCCGATCCATCTTTGACTCATGACTGGCTGCCACACATTAGTTGCCCGCGCGTTGCACCACCCGTGTCAGCTCGCTACCCCCCACGTCACACACACCGCCTCGCGGGGCGCCCAGAGAATTTGAGCCGGGCGTGATCTGGAGGATTTCAAACGCTCACCGCCGACAGCTTGCCGGAGAGGTACCAGCAGTAGAGGGTGCAGGCCGCCAGACCCGCGTTGACGGCGGCGATGGTTACCCAGGCCATGACGCCCGCAAAGTAGCGCAGGATGAGCATCCAAACCTGTGACGGGTGTTTGGGGTTTGGCAGGGTTGAGGAGTTGTGGTTGTGTGTGTGAGAGAGAGTGCGTGTGCGTGGTTGTGCCTGAGTGCTGGCGTGCGTGCGTGTGAGTGTGTGTGTGTGTGTGTGTGTGTGTGTGTGTGTGTGTGTGTGTGTGTGCGCGCGTCTGTAAGTTTATATGTTTATGTGCGTAGAGGGAAACGTGGAATAGTCAATCAAACTTCACAACAGAAGCCACGGGCAGCAACCTGGGGCGGCCAAGCGGTGCGCACTTGCGGCGTCAAGCACCCCCAAGACCTGCATGCAGCCCTGAGAAGGAGACGCAGCAGCAGGCGCCAGCCAAAATCGCCAGCAAGCCGATCCCCGAGGCGCAGCCGAGCCCAGGCCGCATCCTCTTGCATGTAAGCACTTGCCACCCGGGTTGGTTCCCGAGTGCCGGCGCCTCGCACGGGTTTGCACTCAACCCTAAGCCCTGAACCCTGAACCCCAAACCCTGACTAGCACGCGCGTACACACGGCAAGCACCTACCAAAGACAGCACGATCCCCGCGCCCAAGCCGGCCGCGGCCACGATGAGTATTCCCTTGCTGATGTCAGCTATGTAGGTCGCAAGCTGGTTGCCGGCGCCCGCGTAGTCAGACGCAAACGCGCCGGCGGCGGAGGCGGCGACGCCGGCGCTGGTGTTGAGGGCCGACAAGACTGATCCCATGAGCTCGGGCGGGAATTTGGGGAAGCACCTGGGCAATGGCAGGGGTTTCGCGGCTGTTTTTTTTGCGACGAGGAACGCACAGGGTGACAGCTGGGCAGGGTGGTGAACGCCGGCCTGCTAGTACCGTCAAGGGCGAGCGGCGGGCGATATGGGCGTGCGACCGCGGACGCCCGTAGCCATGTGAGGGGCATGGAAATATGCGCAGAGCGCGGCTGCTGCAGGTGCCCGCAGCCCAGTCCTGCTAGCCTGGGAAAGCCTCATGCATGTGTGATCGAGTCATTCCGGCCAGACCGCCAGCGCCCTCGCTTCTCAACTCCTGCCCTGGCACAAACGCCTGCAATCACAACACCCGCAAGAAGCAAACCCCGGCGCCACCGAACCCCCGCGAACTCAAACTTCGCCAAACGCCAACAACCCAGCCGCAGCACCATGCCAACCCGGCACCGAGTTGATGCCCAGCGCAACCACGGCCGCCAGCGCCGCCTTGCAACCGCACCTGTTAAAGAAGGGGGACGTGGCGGCCCACACGGGGTAGCAGGGCCCCTTGCCTGGAAACTGGCTGGTGGCTTTGAGGTATGCCCCGCTAACTGCGCCGGCGGCAGAGCACATGGAGGGGTCCGCCACTTGCGACAGGTCGGGAAGCTGCACGGGCAGCAGTCGGAGGGGCGCAGTGACGGGGGCAGGTCGCAGGTGGCGGTTGGGGCCGTCAGTCGCTGGCAAGCGCTTCAGGGGTGTGCTGGCGTGTGCCAAGGAAACTTCCACGCCCCTCCTCCCTCCCAATGAAGGGTTGAATGTCAAAACCATTCAGGGTATGGGGTTGGCGAGATGATGGCAGCCCGCTCGGCTACGGCTGGCAATGGGTGTCGATTGCAGGGGCTGGCTTTCCGATCCGACGCTTTCGCCCCCGACGCCCTCCCAGCGCCCGGCAACGCACCTTGGCAGCTGCGAGGGTGAGGAACGTGGCGTTGCAGGAGGCCAGGGTGGCGGAGCCGAGGGAGCCCCAGTACTCTGTGTTGGTGTCGTTGACGCCGAGCAGCTGCCCATACAGCCCGTTCTCGGCAAATTTGTAGTAGGGGCACCTGGTTATTCCGTGCCAGGTGTGCAGGCAAGATTTGAGCGTGCGCGTGTCGAGGTGTTGCCCAGGGCAAGAACGTTAAAGGTGCAAGCAAGCCCATTGCCGAACGGCTCAGGTCATGGTAGCAGTGAACACAAAGTCTGAACTGC